AAAAAGAAGCTACTGGAGTTTGGAAGTTAAAAATTGCTGCAATAATTCTGTAATTGGTGCATAAACATGCAAAAATTAGATGTTCGGTTGATTTTCTTAATTAGTAATCTGCAGTAATGAAAGGAATAAACAAAGATGTTCCTAGCTAAAGAAATATATATATGTTCCTATACATATTATATTACCAGAACTGCTGTCATATTCTTATCCTGAACAAATGAAGACTAAGAAACTTTCTGAGGAAGCTTTGCTGTAAACTGACAAAAACTCCACAGATGAAGTGAAGAAGTCTGTAAGATGATAACACATCTGGCTATATATAAGTTAAATATGATAACCAGAGCCTGTTGATAGTAAAATAATCTCAAATAATAAGAAATTATGTTGATGGAGAAAATTTAGGGCCGATTTTTTGTGTGATTAGTTGTTCTGGGAGCAGAGCCACTGCTGCCTGACTTCTTGGATCTCGTCTCATAGATCTCCTGTGGGTTCCAAGTTGCCTCATTCCTTTGAAACCCCTCCATCAGGTTGGGAATTATTTATCTTAGACACTTAGAGGAAATTCAAAGGAGCATAATTACCTTTGAGATCTTTATATAGTAAATGGCTTTTCAATCTGCTGGGCAGGTTCAGATAGATATGGAATGACAAGCAGACAGAAGTCTAAAGCATTGTACTTCTGCAAGTTCTGTGTTTTCCCTAAGAAAAAAAGTATCTTTTGCTAAAACTGCTAAGTTAAGGGTGAGGTAATGTGTCTCCAGAATGTTATTGCATATAAGGGGTGATTACAAAATGGAAAGGTGAAAATAAGGCAGGAGAGATAAAGAGCCATGTAGCCGAGAAGAAGGAAAAGGATGGGAGAAATCTCTTATCCCACATTAAGACAGAGGCTGACAGAGTGGGTGGTGGCTTGGAGCCCCATTCCAAATTGGCAGAAGGCAAAAGTTGAATGTGGCTTGAAAGAGAAAGCTCAGAAGCCCAGTGCTGAATCTGAGCTAGTGTGCTTCTGATAGGATTTTGATTTGTAAATGTTTTCATTCCAAATCCAAATGAGATGAAGTGGATAGAGGTTGATTGTGGAGGAAAATAATTCATGTTTCTTGCAAATTAAACATTATGAGAGGAAAAAAGCCCAGTGTTTACTTTTGGGGGAAAAAATTTTTGCCTAGAAATGAAGTTTTTATTCACCCCAAAATATTTTAAGTAGACATTTTGCTTCATTTTTTCCCCTTGGTAATGTCAGAAAGACTGTGTGAATTTCCAAATATAACCCATTCCATCCAAGTGGTATTTTAATACAGAAAAATATTTAGGTAAAATTTTTCCAACCGATTCTAGTTGCAGTTTATGTCCAGATTAGAGGCATATTTTAGCAGAATCTTCTCAGGTGCCAAGAACAAAAGGATCCCTGGACTTTGGACAAAAACACTTGCCTTGTTTTGGCTGGTCAAAAGAAGAGATCGGACAAAAAAAATGTAACTACCCCCAAATTCATAACTTTTCTTCTTTTTTATTTTGTTTGAATTTACATCTCTGACTCCCATAGCATATGTTTTTGCATGTGTTTCTTGGCACTCCTGAAGGGCAGATCTGTTTCTTACATGCTTCCTGCCTTATTTTTTTCTGGGGAATTAGTTTTGTCCTGGATATGTGTGCAGAATTCCTGTGACAGCCATAATTTTTCTTTAATATCATTGTATACACAGAGCTTCTGTATTAATACTGAGTTTGCTACCTGCCCACCAGCAAAGCCATATGCTAGAATCAAATGTTAATTGGTTATCAGTTGGGGATTTAGTCCTACTCATCTGCTAGATGGATAGTATGAGAAACTTACACCAGAGTTAATGGAACATACTCTCTAGTCTTGTTAAATTGCCATAGATTTGTTCCATTGTTCCACTACAATCACAACACAAAATGAGGTTTGGATTTGTTTTAGCATTGCAGACTCTTTAAAATACTGGTTTGTTTTCCAGTGTGGATTGACAGGAATCTAGAGAATCAGGGAGGATGGAAGGGACCTCTGGAGGACATTGAGTCCAGTCTCCTCCTCAAAGCAGGCATGGTTAGAGGCCAGAACCTTGGTTAGAAACCAGAAACTTTGAGTGCCTTTGAGGGAGGAGATTTCCCAGCTGCTCAGGGCACCTATTTCACTTTTTTACCATCCTCATGGTAAAATGCTTTCCTTGTAGCATGTTCTCCCTTGTACCTGTTGCTTCTTGTCATGCACCTCTGAGAAGGACTTGCTCTTGTGTTTTCCTGGGCTCAGGTGGTTGCAAACCAGCAGCAGGGTCTGCCCTGCATCATCTCTGAACAGCCTCAGATCTCAGTCACTCCCCTCATCCCAACCACCTTGGCAGCTCTCTAATGGGCTTGCCTCAGTTTCTCAGTAGTTTTCCTGTCACTGAAGAGCCCAGGATGGGACCCCACACTCCAAAGGAGGTCTCACAAGCGCTACAAGATCACTTCCTTTGTTCAGCTGGTTTCGCTGGTGATTGACACAGCCAGGGTGCCATGGCCACAAAGACTCCCTGCAGAGTCTTTTTGAGTGAAGTTACTCCATCCTGGGTGCAGGTGTGGGAATAACTAGTGAACCTGGAAGTGGTTGAATTATCTGTGATCAAGAGCTGTTGAGATAAAAAATGGAAAAGTGTTTGTTCTAGGGCTGTACATAGGAACACAGCCACACAACAGCTCTAAGATTATGTGCCCTTGGGGATGTCCTGCATCTAGCCAAGGAAGCCAGGGCTACAAATTGTGCAGAGCTCTATTCCTTATACATAACTTCACAACAGCAGTGCCTAGGCAGGAACAAGATTTCAAAGATTTGTACCTAAGTCTGACTTAGTAATTCAAGAGCACTCAGAGTAAAAAGCAAAGCACATTCTAAAGTCTTCCAAGGAACAAAGTTTGAACAAAATATTGCTAAATCTATGAATAAGCAGCAGAAAATACCCTGTTAGTAAAAAAAAAAAAAAAAAAAAATAAGATTTAAAGGGTAAAAAGTGTAGTTAAGGAGACAAAGAAAAGGAAATAATTTTACCGAAGCCTGGTGTGGAATAAAAGAATAAAACAAGTAACTGAGATGCATACTCCTCAAAAACACAGTTTTTAATTGAAAAGCTGACAGACCTGTAACTACAGCAATGCCTCTGGCCGCCACTATAATAAATGAAACTGTACATTTAGAGTAATTTGCTAATTTGCCTAAGTAACACCCACAGAGAGCAACATGACATAAATACATTAGTGGAAGCAACAACTATAACCAGCTCATACAGGTTCTTGGCTGGCAGATGGATGGATCAGATGAGCTGGAAGAGATTTACCAAACAGAACAGAAATGGAGCTGTGGTAACAACATTGTGGGATACAGGATTTCTTTATTCCTTTAAGGCCTGAAGATGCTCATACATGTTGCAGCATGAAAATAACATTTTTAACTTGTGTTAAAAGTGCATGTGTGCATGCACTGGAAAGCTTGTACAGTTGGAGTACACATCTGCTAAATGCCAAGTGTTTCAGAAGCAAAACAGAGAAGTCTTTCAGGTAAATTATTGAATCTTGAAAATTTAACATGTAATTATAAATATCTGAAAAGAGTTTTTGTTAAATATTCTAAAGACACATAGGTATTTGGTCCATAGGAAAGACTGGAACCTGTACTATCAGCTTTCCTAATGCAGGTGTTCCAAGTGTCTGAAACTTGTACTTCAGAGTCACCCACGTCTTCTGGCAAAGTTCAGCTCTGTGTCACCTCCCTTAGGCTAGCACTGTTCTGTCTTCTGTTTCCATAGCTCTGAATCACACCTGTTGCATTTTATTCTGAAGTCCTACTCATGCCAACTTTTGCCATTGCATACTAACTGGTTTTCTGTGTTCTCTAAATAGCCTGCCTCCAAGTTAAGCTTGGGCCATCGCTAAGGATTTTTGTGTTATCAACAATGCATTTCTAAAATTAAAACCCAAAAAAATTGCTGTTATGCAAGGCGGATTTAATTTTCAATAAAATATTTCTTTCTGGTCCCAGTCTCCTCTTCTGACTGTCTTGATCCTGATACAAATTAACAGTGCAGAAACAAAGCTAATGAATGCAGGTTTGCACAGTTTCTGTTTTTGTTTCCTCCCAGATGTGCTTAGGAGGTTTGTGCTGAGCTGTTTGAGACAGGCAATGCCAGCTCTCAGGGGCAGAATCCAGTGAATAACCAAATGCGGAGTCAGGTGAAAAGTTTCTCTTTCAGTGCTCCTCTCAGGAAGAGCCCACGTGTGTAGGCATATATATTCTTGCCTTCATCGGGAGGTTGTTCTAAGGTTTTTCACTAAATACGGGTTGTAAAATATTCTTGAACGTGAGTCACTTTAAATTATAGTTCACGGAGCTGAGGGAGTCACTGAGAAAATGGAGCAGGAAAAAAACCATGGGATAGAGGCAAAGAGTGAGATTTCACTGTGGGATGTGGATTTTTGACAGGCAAACTGAATCCATGCCTTGCTTGAGGGCTTGATATTAATGTCAGGGCAAAGATCCCTCTGGCTGACCCAAGTTCTGAGTGTCAGTACAGACTGACAAAGACCTCAGCTCTGGGAGAAAAGAGCTGACATGATTTTATGAAGCATTATGGCTGATCTTCTTTGAACCCTAATTTCTGTCAAAGAGTTATCATCACTGTCACAGTAAATGATACTTGCAGCACAAATGGCAATTAACTAGAAGTAAATAGTAGAGCAGAAGTCTGCAGACTGGTTTTTAAGGTTGATGAGTTGAAAGTAATTTCAACGCATTAATGCTAAGCATGCTAAATCATCATGTGCCATGAAAAAGACAGTAATGTCACTTACCTGAAATCAGCAGGAATTACAATAATGTGTAGTAGGGGTAGGCTCAATTGTTTCAAATATGTGAGCATATTACAGGAACCGATAACACTTTGTCTATCTGTTTGCTTTTATCAGATTTTTTATAAAACAAGTAATTTGTTTGTTTTTCACTATTTTAGGTAGCCTGCCCTATGAATACAAGATTGTGATAGCAGGAAATCATGAATTGACCTTTGACCAGGAATTCATGGCTGACTTAATCAAGCAGGACTTTTACTATTTCCCTTCTGTTTCTAAGCTGAAGCCAGAGAGCTATGAAAATGTACAGTCTCTTCTAACAAACTGCATCTATCTTCAAGACTCTGAAGTGACGGTGAGGGGATTCAGAATATATGGCTCCCCTTGGTAAGCAGGTTTTTTAGCATACATTAAAAAAACGTTGATTGCTATCACATCAGCCATTTTGTCTGCATCAGCTGTATTTGGATTGCTGTGTTAGGAAGAAAAGTAACACTCACTTTGATAAAGTTTTTATATTTTCTTGTAATGAATCATTCCTGTGACAAAACAATGTACTGTACTGTGGGTGTGGTTAACCAAATAATGATGGGTAAAAAAGATGGTGTGCTCTTCAAACTCTCAGCCAGGAGTAGGTATTTAACAGTCCATGCAGGGGGCTTTTGTGTCATAAAATATGTTTTCTCTCCTTGATGAATTTATTTAATTACAGGTTAATTTTATTGCAAGGATACAGTCTTTTGACAATTTCCATCCTACAAAAAATATTGGAGGTTCATTACTGTGTACAGTAGTCACTTAACAAGCTTATTTCAGCAACTCTGAAGTTCTTTGATTGCTTATCCCTCAGAATCTTGCTTTCTTTTTATAAAGTAATAGCTTTCCTCAAGGTCTAGTTGAGCTTCTACAGTCAACAACTCAGTGGCAGCTTAATATTTCATGGACTTTGCTCTACTGCATAGTGATTACTTAGAACCCTTGACAGTATAGAAGGCAGATGGACTTTGGTTCCTGACTTCCTTGTATGTGCTGTTTCTGTGTCTCTTACTAATGTCCCATTGCTGTTTATTATTTCTGCTGATGGGCCTGTAAATTGGGTCTTTTGTGAGCATTTGATATATGTTTAAAATAAGTAAAAATGTATTTTAAAAGGCAGGGTTTTAAGGGAATATGTTATTCTTCTTTTTAACATCACATCAGGCTGAAATGTAGCAAACAAGTTGTCAAACCTGATGCATATACCCTGATGTGAATTTTCAGTGTGAATAAACTGTGAAATCTCTTGGATTTTTTTTTAATGAAAATTGGCTTTTTCCCATTTGGTTACTTGAGATGGGTGTTAATTTTGTCTAAGCATATTATTCTACATTTGTCTAGATTAGTTTCCCTCTTAAATGCACCCTTCTCTTTCTCCCTCTCAGGCTCTTCCAGATCTTTCTGGGTTTTTTTTTAACTTACCAACCGGCTGTATTGTAGTTCATCTTCCTCTTGTGTGTACAATGTATGCAGTCAATGTGCAGTTTACTTAATTTTCCACATTATTTGGGAAGATGTTAGATGGTATCAGTCCCAATATTAACTTCTGAGAAATGCCACTTGGCATCTTTTCCCATTTTGATGTTCAACTGTAAATACTGTAATTATGCTCTGTTTACAATATGTCTGGCAACCTCATATCTTCATTTCAGTGTTGGTAACCAGGCGCCCTATTTCCAGTGTCAATAATAATTTTCCAGGCAGTGAAGTACCAAAAGTTGCATGGAAGTCTAGAGAAATTACATTAAAGCAAAACACTATCTATAAAGTAGCACTATGTAGAGGCTAAAGGGAACCACTTGAACTTTCTGTGTGTGATTAGATCTGCAAAAAACTGTTGAGAAAACCTTTTGTCCACCCACTAACCCATAAATAATGTTTCTGTAAAATCAGCTCTACCACATTTCCTTTGTGCACAAATCTTGTCACTCTGCGCAAGTTGCCTGAGCTATCTGCCATGATCTATCCTTGAAGTAAAAACAACGCTTTCCATCTTTTCTGCAACTCCAGGTCATAGCTACACTTCCACACTCCATGTTTTATAATGCTGCTAAATCATCTCCCACCCCTTCACGGTCCAGGAAGTTGAGTGTTGCGAGGTCTGCTGGAGATACTTGCTTTCTCCATCTGGGAGAGAGTCTTGATGAAAGTCTTCCAGCCAAATTGAGTTTTTTTCCTCACTATTCAGCAACACAGAATGAAGTTTCCATGCCAATTGATGACATGTCCAGTGGAAACTTCCAACAGTAGCAATTAGAGCCCTTCATCAATCTCTCAGCACAGCAGATGCAGAGTCCCATCAGCCAGGCCACCAGTCTTGGGAAGACAAACAGCTCTTGTGTGGGGATTTGACTAGCTGCTGCTGGATTTCAGGCTGTGGTACACTCCTGTGCCTAGTGAGCATCACTGTTCTTTGGCATTTCGGTTGCTATACTTTGTTTACCCTAAAAGCAGAGGTTTGTCATAGCCTCTCTGGGAAATCAATCTCACTTTCTTTCTACATCATAGTAATGTAATCTCTAAAAAGATATGGAAATTTGCTGAATTTTATATGGTGAATATTTTTTTTGACCTAGCATTAAAAACTAGTCCATTAGAAAATATTTATGAACATAGTCAAGACTTCAAAATTTAAAGTTCTTTAAGGTCTCAGACCTCCACAAGAAAGTCAAATTTCATGCAGTTGCTTGTCTAATAGCCTAAAATAATTTTCTTTTTTCTGTTTTGAAAATATGCACTTAAACTTTCCATTTCTAGTTGCAGCGCTGACCTTCTGTCTTACATCACCTTTAGTCGAAATAATTAGAAGCTAGTGATATCCCTCATTCATAAAACACATTGATCAATAGTTGCAAAGTACTTTGAGAACACTGGAGTAAGGTCTGAGTAAAAGCCGAGTAGCATTAACTTAGTGTCTTTTGCCTGTAGTCATCTGCATTTTTATATATAACCTGTACACATTAGATTATACTTCTATTTAAAATGTTTTAGTTGCAAATTAAACCATGAGAGCTTGATTGGTTTGTATAACATGCCGGTCTCTAAGGTCTTTTAAATATGTACCAGTTGTGTGTGGTTAAATATTTTTAATAGCACTTGGTATTTTGTCCTCTATTAGTATCTAAAACCAAGTGGTTATTTTTAATTGCACAGAAGAAATGGGACAGTGTTTTGTCTCAGAAACCAATGCTCTAACTCTCCCGGTCTCCAAGGGCAAGAATTCAAGTGCCAGATTAAGCCTCTGCTCACTAACGAAAATTTAACTGTCTTAATTGTTAATTACACAAGTGTTATCATTGAGCAGGGAGCAGCCATTTTGAAATGCCACTTGCAATGCACAAAAGCAGCTACTTAGGAATTAGTACTTGCAAAATCTTGGACCATGGATTATCAGGAAGAGATATAGATGTTAAGGAGGAGAAGTGTGAAAACATTAGAAGTTTCATGAGAAACTCAGGAATAAAAAGATTTTAAAAGTGTCCAGAGCAATGCTGAGTGCAATGGGTAACTGTTTGGCTTTGGGGCATGATGCTTCTCACAGTGCATATGGGGGTGGCTGCCAGATCTGGATGAGCAGGACACCAGTAAGAATGCAATGTGCTTCACAGACTCCCAGGATGGCTCAGGCTGGAAGGGACCACAGTGGGGCAGCTGGTCCCACCTCCCTGCTCCAGCAGGGCCATCCCACAGAGCACAGGGTTGTGTCCAGAGGGGTCTGGAATATCCCCCATGAGGAGACTCCACAGCCTCTCTGGACAATCTGTTCAGGGCTCGGTCAGTGCCCAGGGAAGAAGTTCTGCCTCCTGTCCAGGTGGAGCCTCCTGGGATCAGTCCCTGCCCGTTCCTCTGGTGCCATCGCTGGGCCCCCGGAGCAGAGCCTGGGCCCTGCTCGGAGCCCTCCCTGCACACAGGGACACCCAGGGCTGAGGGTCCCTCTCAGCTGGGGCTCCTCTGGAGGCTGGAACGCCCCAGCTCCCTCAGCCTTTCCCTGCCAGAGATGCTCCAGGCCCTAAATCATCTCTGCAGCCTCCGCTGGCCCTGCTCCAGGAGCTCCATGTCCCTGCTGTCCTGAGGAGCCCAGGATGGGACACAGCACTCCAGATGTGCCTCACCGAGCTGGGCAGAGGAGTGGGATCACTTGATGCACTTCCATCAGTAAAGCACAGATGCTGGGTACTGTTGGGTCTTCTTCAGTATAAAGGCTGGACACCCTGATTTTTTTTTGTAAAAAAATAGTCACAGGAAAATGCACTCTGGTTTCATCCCAGCAAAACCCAAGGCTTGGCCAGAACATATTTGCAGACCTGGAAACAATCTTGTGCAGACAGCAGTTGTAGTTGCTGTGAATGTAAAAGAGAAGACTTTAGTTCCCCAATAACATTTACTGTAAAATGGAAAGCTTCTAGTTGAAAAGTACTTTTAAACTCCCCTTTTGTTCTGAACTGTTATGAAGATAGACAAACGGGCAGATAGAATAACTCAAATAGTTCTGTGTAATAATTCCATATAATGTACTTGGGACTGCTAAGACATCCCAAGGATGAAGCCATTTTCTAGAGGGTTTTAATTTATTTTTCAGTAACAAAAAAACCCCCACGTAATAGAAGTAAAAATATAGCAAGCAGGAACACCAGAGAGGTGGCAGAGAAAACACCCTTAGGTGTTTCCAAGACAGTCATGGCTGACCAGATCTAGTGATGGTGAGAGGTAGTGAGTGGTAGGTTGGACAGGAACTCTCCAGAAGTCCTTTCTGAGCCATCTTTCTGTGATTCTGTCAATCCCACTGTGGAGCTAGAACTGTGTGTGAGGCAGATACCTGAAATGGGCAGGTATCAACAAAGGCCTTGCAACAGGGAGTTTGCTGTTGTTATCACACTCAGTAGATGGTCCCAACAGATGGTTCAGAAGTCAGGAAGCTGGGATAACAGCGGAAGCTTGAATTTGGATTTGAAGTAGAAGGTCTTTGTCATCAGACAGCGTTCTGTGTTATCAGAGAGGGTATTAACTCTATGATGACATCATTCATGGAAAAATACTAATTAGTTATTATTTGGGTTACAGATTTTCAGCCTTCTACTGTAGTTCATCACCCCCCCCCCCCCCCCCCCCCCAGTACTATGTTGCAGGTAAGACTTTTAGTACTAGCCACAGCTTGAAGACAGACTATACCATCCATTCTTGTTTCTGTAACTGCCAAAGATTTTAATTGCACAATTACACACTGTGTTTGCACAAAAATACCTGATGCATTCAGTGCACAAAATCTGCTGTGCTTGCTGAACGAGTCCACTGTATGTTAATCCTTTTACAGTTGTTATTCAGAAATGCCCTGTAAAAACAAATGCCTATAA